AGTGCTAAAGTGTCTCGCGCTACATATCACGCAAAGAATGTCCCACTGCAAAGCATGCAAGTATGCAACTCGTACATCTCTTATGGTCTCTTGTCGGTCCACAGAGGACTCCTACGTATTTAGACTACTCCGGAAGAGTCTTCTTTTTAGGGCGTGCGCTTTTGTCATCAATAGCGCACAATTAATCTTGCATTTTTCGAGTCGTAATTTTCGACGTTGAATTGAACCTGATCGTATAGTACGTAGTTGTAAGGCTCACTATGGTGGTCCTTCCTCCCCAAAGGCTCGATCAAAGCTTACTGGTGTCCGTAGACACTTCTTATCAACTAGAAAAGAAGCCCGAGAGGTTATTCAGTCCTGGTATGTTTGTCCTATCAATGGTCACCCTCCTGGATGTTTGTTTTCCTCCCCTTACTTCAGGTTCCTTCCTATCCACTACTCTGTTGTTGGTAGTAGCTGCTTTGGGGGCTGGTGCACTATCCCTACCCTATGCCATGCTAGGCAGTGGGCTCTTGGTTGGTATCCTATGCTTCGTCATTTGTGCATGCATTGCTGTTACCAGCAATCTGATCCTCTTTACTGCTGTCACTAAGACCGGTCTACACACCTATGGTGCTGTCGTCGATTGGGCATTGGTCCGTCTTGGCTTCAAGAAGGCGGATTTACTAGCAGCAGTAGGGCAGCAGGCTGAGGGGAATGCTCCCTATTACTCTGTGAGTTGGTATCTAGCCTAGGATATGTGTTGACCCTTATTCAGATATCCCCTTTGGGGGTCTCTCCTCGACTTGCCTTCTTCGAGCTTTGGGCCTTCGTTTACTGCGTGATGACCTGCGTGAGCTATCTTGTATTCCTCGGAGACTTCATTCCTTCTATCACTGGGTATTATTTACAAGGAATAGATCCAGAAGTGTTCCGTAAATTCTGTATTGTGGCCTGTGCATATTTGGCCATTTACCCTATGTCGGTATCAAAAAGGTGAGTCGGTCGCTTCGTTGAATTCCCTTAAATGTAAATGATCGTCATCTTTAGTATATCCGTACTTCGTTACGTATCATCCCTCTCTATTTGGGCCGTGG